TTAAGATTCCGGACGATATGCAGCAATATCTTCATATCTTGTTGAACACCCTTGAGAAGAGAACGGGTGATACCAAGATGTTTGACAGGCTCACGTTTCCGAGGAAGCTTATCTGCATCACGCTTTTGAGCTTCAGAAGCCCCGAGAGCCTCAGCATCACGCCTTGACTCTGGCTCACGCCTTTTTTTTCCAGCGAAGATTTCCTGATCCGAATCCAAAACCTATGTATCTAAACTCTCATAACCAGAAGACTCGAAAGAAGCATTAGACTCATCCCACTGCCTGCGAACAACTCTACATGACGACAATCATCATCAGATGCAACGGAATCGACCTCATTGGCCTCAAGAAAGCGAGAAGAATTTACGTACGGGACCGCTACTACCATGTTACCCGCGTTACATAGCCACAGGAGACTCGGCGTTAAATAGGGGAGATACTCTCGACCAGATGCATTTGTTAACGACTGCCGCACAATGGCGGCATTCTGTTATGTGTGAGTATTTCAAGTTTGCCAGATATTCCCCTTCACTGTACAAGATATTCCGTGCTATCGTCAAGTACGTGGCGGTAAATTGCTTGGCTCCTTACGTACATTAGTATTGTGATCTAACGTTGCGAGGCATCATATAGCGTCCCCCAAAGTGCGTCAACATCCACGTGATTATACTTTCCATTCATTCAAGTAAAGAGGTAACCCAATATGCATGGGACCCTCACAAGTCAGGAGTTAGTGACGTTACCGATTGCTGTCAATCATAGTCTTCGTTTGATTTGATTTTGATTCTTCAAGTTCGTGAATATTTAGGGTTTTTGACGAATTCTTGCCCTAACTTAAGCTAACCAAAAGGTGAGCGCTCTGGGCAGGCCCGATCTTGGCGAACCCCAACAAGAACCTAATTGGTGGAGTAGGGGTTGAATTGATGAAGTTGCACAACGTCCTTGGCAAAGACCTGTCTATTTCGAAAAGCATAATGCAGGAATTTGGGCTGCCAGGACGGAAATCGCGCCCTCTAGCTGACACGCGCAGGGCCCATGAATCCTGCGGGATTCATGGGGCCCCAAGTGTATGCGGATTGAACCCGTGACCGTGCCATCGCCGCCTTCAGATCTGCCGTGCACCCGATCATTGGCCGGCCTCGACTTTTAGATCTTTCTTATAACTTTCAATTGTGTACGTTCTCAGCTGGCATACCAACTTTGACGACTGTTGATGACGTGTCCGCATAGATACCATCAACGGTGGAGACGTCAACTGAGATATTCACTTGGTAAAACGGGCCATTCTCTTTGCTCATCACATACGTGCATTGACAATGGCAAAACAAAATCCATGGAGCTACTAGGGTTGCAGCTGTCGTTCGTACCGACGACGCCAAAGTTACAGAACTCGCAGGCAATGGATGAGGATCGAAACATGAGATACGCTCATCATTTGTCGTTCATCGCCTGATGAGGTCGGAACTTTCAGCTTCGTACGTGCAGGCAAAGATTAGACTGCCTCCTACTTAAAAGATTGTTCTCAAAAATTCAAGCAACTCAAAGTAAGCGCACTTGGAGCCATTCTTTCGAGTCCGAAATCCGAGTGAGAATCTGGTAATAATATGCGCTTGTACTCAATTCTTTCCAAGAAAACAAAAATAATCTGGTGAACTGTTTCGGAACCCGGATACCGCATACTTCAAGTGCATGTTTGAAGATTTCAAGTGCGTAAGGTAAGAGTACTGGCGGAGTTCCTTGTGGTGTTTCGAACTTCGTGTCAATCTTTGGAGAGTGGTCATGGGTAACTTTAAACAACGAGGCTTGCTATACTCGGTTGAGGATTCGGAACCATAGGGTTCTATGATAGCACGGAGCTTCGGAGGGCTGTGTTATTTTCAAAAGAAAAACCACTGATACATTGGAACCACTCATTGAAATCACTAATGAATCTTGCTCCCATACGGCTTAGAGCTATACTAGCTAACAACTGATTGTGAGCGTGCTTCGACATAGCGCCACAGACAAGTCGTTATCTACTTAGCAATTAATGCATTACCCTGTGATTGGTTCGCCTGCTGCATGTTATAGCGTATGGCTTAGTGGTACCTCCACATTTAGGCGCCAGTTGTATGCAGATCCTAACATGTTTTTTAAATTCCAAAGGTGTTCCAATCATTGAGTAGATCAGCAGGAGGGGGGAGTTCTTTCTTAAATAAGAATCGAATCACGATTGTCAAGAACAAGGCGTCCTGATCGATGATGAAACTTCGACAGAAGATGCGCGCAACTTGTCAGGCTAAGAAAGGCTGGATGCATATGGTGGGCTTTTATAGCGATCCAAGTCTCAGACAGCAGCAATCAAGAAAGCGTTTGAAAAGGTGCTTTGAAGCCGCATGTGCAAGTGCTTTCGGAAATAAGTGCGAGGTGAATCGTGCGAATGTGTTTGTAAATCGTGTGCTCATTTGGGAAAGCCAAAGACTATATGAAATACCCTATAGTGAAACAAGGGCGAAAATCCCTCTGCTGCCTAACCACTACAGAGTCAAGCTCTTGTAAACCACAGCCATGATGTGTCTTCAACATAAGAGATATTCTGATCTCGAGTGCTAAAGAGAGAGCGCGTGTGAGCCAGGAAGCCGCACTCATCTTTGACCCACATAACACCATTCTCCTGCAACACCCCATCCTTGTAAACAAAACCATAGTGGCACCTGAAATGCTGGACCCTCTCTGGAAGAATCAAAGCTTTCGGCGGCCACTTTGTCTCCCAATCAATTCTAGTATAAGAGCGAAAAGGGTCCTTTCCCTCAGTTGTCCAGATTTTCAGTTCATCATCTCCTGTCTCGCTACACTCTTCTCCTACACATAATATATTATGACGGTGCAGAAGAATCTGCTCAGACCAGTTTGCGCATTCATAGAATCTGGTTATATTCCCCGGTCGTGGCAAGACAAGGAACTCATCAAGATCAACTATAAGGATACGTATATTTTCTCCCCACCTGTCCAGAAGAGCATGATTGTACAAAAACACTTGCTCGTAGTATCTCAACCTTGGCTGAGGTGAGTATCTTGCAAGTGCGTCCCACACAATAATCCGCAGTTTGCCTTGAAGAACCAGCTCTGTGATATCCCGGTCTTTGAGCAACTCACACGCATAATGGTGCTGAACATATATGCTCCCGCCCAGGACGCCCATCCTCAAATGATGCCTAATGCTCTGCACGACCAGCTTAGCGGACAGCAAAAAATCGCCTTGTGGTGGAAAGAACAGAAACCCCTTCCAAACCAGCCAGGTCGCCGTTGTCCTCTCCTCAAACTGCCTCAGCAGCAAGGGTCTTGTTAGAACACTTCTAAACACATGGAAACGAGGCCAGTCATCAATATGGATCTCAGGGACCTGCTCTGTCACCTCCAGAGGCAACTCAAGCCAGAAATAGAAGGGGAGCCGCTCCCTGTCAGGCCCGTATTGAACCTTGTAAGGCATGTACACAGTCTCTGGAGATGTGCGATGGCGACAGCGGATCTCAATGTGGGGTTCCCACGTCCTGGCCAAAGGGGGTTGCATCAGATGCGTGTTGAGAATCTCGAATGGCCCTGTTGTTTCTGCATAGACCCATCCGTGGCAGATGATGGACGTTGCAGCAAGTCCACCCCCTGTCAGCATGCACTTAACAAAGACGTGCAACATTACACTGGCAACCTCGCTGGAGTTGGCAGAGGCAATCTGACCTGGGAACAGATAGTGCTCCACCGAAGTGTCTGAATCAGCAAGCAGATAATATGCCCCTGGCTTGCTACTGCTACCGGGCTGCTGGGGGCAGGCACGGCCTACTTGGAGTACGGTACTGCCCCCTTCCAAACAAGCTTGACTATAGACGATGCTGGAGTCCCCCCTATCTACCAGAGAACATGGGGCGAAGGATACCATGGTGAAAGTGAATGAGCAGAGGGAAGCAACCACGCATACCCCGAGGATCCAAACAGCACCTAACAACCAGGATCGCTTTCCCCGAAGCGCTTGTATGTCCATGATTGGCAAGCCTGACCCCAACGTATAAAAGCATCAGAGTGATCAGTGGAGCCGTGCAGTTTTTCAAAAGCTCACGTTCCTCTTTTAGTATTACGCATCTAGCGTTTGCATGAACTACTGTAGGTAGTACTAGAAGCGAGGAGGCACAGCCACACACGAGCCCGGTATAAACGGGTCGGCAAAGCCAACAGTCCGGAAATATGAGTCGAGCCTGGGTCTCTACTCTCGAGGATCCACGGGGGTATCCTCCTACCCTAGACAGAGTGTGCAAGTCTGCGCTGCGAACTCGGGCCGCGGGCGTCCTTGAGACCTACCGACCTCTCAATCGCGCGGGCCGCTCTATGGTGAACTGCCCGGGCCTGGCTACGCTGGAGGCTAACCGAAACTCGCTGACGGAAGTAGCAAGTAACCTAGATGCCATGGGTGCCGACTCTAGGCCACCCATCCTAAGCTCTACTGCACGTCTAGCACAAGTGCCCAGAAACTCATCGAAGGAGGAGTCCAAACACCCGTATGTCTCGACCGCAAGGGGAATGAAGGTGTCGTCAGCGGGGTGATCGCCGTACTTCACCGCCTTCGCCTGCGGCGCATCCCGTGCTGCCCGCCCGCGCTCAATCGCTGCCTCCGGAAGCATCCCGTCTCTCAACGGGTCTGCGACCGTCACATCACGTCGGCGTCGGCTAGAATCCGAGAACCACCCCGGGAGTCTGCTCCGACCAAA